AAGTCATCAAACCACAAGAGAATAAGCCAAATAGAAGAAAAAAGGAACAGAGAGTAACTACAGAACACAAAGAAAACAATAAGCAAAGTAGAGTAAGTACATACTTACCAATAATTGCTTTAAATGTAAATGTGTTAAATTCTCCAATACATTGAGGGGCTCGATGTATTAAAAAAATAAAAATAGAAAAACAAGGCCCATCTATATGCTGCCTACAAGAGACTCACTTCAGATGTAAGGACACACATGGGTTCAAAGTGAAGTGATGAAAAAGGATATTTCCCACAAATGGGAACCAAAAGAAAGTTGGGGTAGCTATACAAATATCAAATAAAATAGAGTTTAAAACAAAGATGCTTATAAAAGACAAAGACAGGCATTACATGATGATTAAGGGGTCAATCCAACAGAAGGTATAACATTTATAAGTATTTATGTACCCAACAGGAAAGAACCTAAATATGTAAAGCAAATACTAACTCACCTAAAGGGAAAAATTGGCAATAATAGAGTTATAGTAGGAAACTTTAGCACCCCATTTACATCGATGGATAGATCATCCAAACAGAAGATTACTATGGAACATCAACCTTAAATGATACATGATACCACATGGACTTGATAGATATATACACAACATTCCACCCCAAAGCATCAAAACATACATTCTCCTCAAGTTCACATGGAACATTCTCCAGGTTGGATCATATGTTAGAACAGATAACAATTCTCAATAAATATAAGAAGACTGAAATCATATCAAGCATCTATTCCAACTACAATGGTATGAAACTAGAAATCAATTATAAGAAGAAATCTTTAAAAATCACAAACGTGAAGATTAAACAACATGCTACTGAAAACCAATGGGTCGATGAACAAATCAAAGAATAAATTTTTAAAACTACCTGGAGTCAAACGAAAATGCTAATACATCATACCAAAATGTATCGAATGCAGCAAGCGCAGTTCTAAGAGGCAAGCAAGATTTAGGCTTACCTCATGAAATGAGAAAAATCTCACATAAACCACCTAAGCTTACACCTAAATGAACTAGATAAAGAAAAACAAATTATCTCCAAAATTAGTAGAAGGTAAGAAATAATAAAGATCAGAGTGAAAATAAATGAAATACAGATTTAAAAGAGAGCACAAATTAATCAATGAAACTAATAGCTGGTTCTTTGAAAAGATAAACAAAATTGACAAACATTTAGTGACACTAACCGAGAAAAACAGAGGGCTCAAACAAAAGAAAACCAGAAATGAAAGAGAAGTTATCAGATACCACGGTAATACAAAGGATCATAAGAAACTACTTTGAAAAATTATATGCCAACAAATTGGACAAACTAAAAGAAATGGATAAATTCCTAGAAACATACACCTATACTGTATCATGAAAAAGAGAGAATCTGAATAGACCAGCTATTAAAAAAGAGATTGAGTCAGTAGTCAAAAATCAACCAACAAGCAAAAGTCCAGGCTTCAGTGATGAATTCTACCAAACATTCAAAGATTTAAAACTTATCCACCTCAAACTCTTTCAAAAATTTGAAAAGTAAGGAATGCTTCCAAACTCATTTTCTGAGTCCAGCATTACCCTAATACCAAAACCAGACAAAAACACCACCAAAAAAAAGCATTCTAAGCCCATATTCCTGATGAACTTAGATGCAAAAATCCTCAGCAAAATATCAATAAACTGAATTCAACAATATATCAAAAGAATCATGTACCACAATCAAGTGTGATTTATTCTAAGGAATGCAAGGATGTTTTCGTATATGCAAATAAATTATTGTGACATACTACATTAACAAAATGAAGGATAAAAATCATACAATCATCTCAATAGACAAAGAAAAAGCATTCGAATAAATTCAACATCCATTTATGATAAAAAGCCTCAACAAAGTGGGTATAGGTAGAGTAACCTCAACATAATAAAGGCCATATATGACAAGCCCACAGTTAACATTATTCAGTGAAGAAAAGCTAAAAGCTTTTCCCTTAAAATCAGGAACAAGATAGATGCCTATGCTTGCCTCTTTTATTTAACATAATATTGGAATTCCTAGCAAGTGAATACACAAGAAATTAAAAAAAAAACGGGGCAGGGTATCCAAGTTGGAAAGGAAGAAGTAAAACAGCAACTATTTGCAGAAGACATGACTTATATATAGAAAATCCTACATAGCAGACCAAACCATTAGAGCTAATAAATTCAGTAAAGCTGCAGAGTGTCAAATCAATATACAGAACTATGTTGCATTTTTATATACTAGTAACAAGGTCTCAGAAAGAGAAATTCAGAATATAATCTCCATTACAACTGTATCAAAAAGAATAAAATAAATTTATTCTATAGAATAGAATAAATTTAACCAAGGAAGTAAAAGTCCTGTACATTGAAATCTATAAAACACTAATAAAAGAAATTGAAGAAGACACAAATAAGTGTAAAGTTATTCTGTGCTCATAGACTGGAAGAATTAATGTTGTTAAAGTGTCCACGTTACCCAAAGTGATATACAGATTTGATTCAACCCGTATCAAAATTCCAACAGCATTTTTCACAGAAAGAGAACAAACAATCCTCAAATTTGTAGAGAATCACAAAAGATTCTAAATAGCTAAAGCCATACTGAGAAAGAAGAACAAAGCTGGAGGTAGCATGCTCCCTGATTTCAAACTATACTACAAAGCTAGAGTAATCAAAACGGTATAGTACTGGGACAGAAACAGACACAAAGATCAATGGAACAGAACAGAAAACCCAGAAATAAACCCAATTATATTGGGTTTATTATTTACAATGGAGGCAAGAACGTACAATGGGGAAAAGAAATATCTTCAATAAACAGTGTTGATAAAACCGGACCGCCCCATGCAAAAGAATGAAACTGGACCACTATCTTACACTATTCACAAAATTAACTCAAAATGGATTAAAGTCTTGGACATAAGACCAGAAACCACAGAACTCCTAGAAGAAAACATGTGGGAAGCTCTTTGACATTGGTCTTAGTGATATCTTTTTGGATCTGACTCCAGAAGCAATGGCGACAAAAGAAAAATGAACAAAGACTACATCAAACTAAAAAGCTTCTGCAAAGTGAAGGGAACTATGAACAAAACAAAAAAGCAACTTAATGAATGGGAGAAGACATTTGAAGACCATATATCAAATAAATAGTTAAAAACCAAAATATATAAAGAAATCACACAATTCAATAATAACAAACAAAATCTGATTAAAAAATTGGCAGAGGATCTGAGCAGTCATTTTCCAAAGAAGACACACAAATGTTCAGCAGACTCGTGACAAGATGCTCAACCTCACTAATTGTCCAGGAAATGCGAATCAAAACTGTGATAACTCCTCACACCTGTGCGAATAGTTATTCTCAGAAAGACAAAAAAATAACAAATGTTAGCGAAGATGTGGTAAAAAAAAGGAACCCTTGTGCACTGTTGGTGGGGGTGTAACCACTATTGAAAACAATATGGAAGTTCCTCAAAAAATTAAAAATACAAGTACAGTATGATCCAACAATTCTACTTCTTAGTATTTAACCAAAGAAAAGGAAACCACTAATTTGAAAAAGATATATGCACCTCTATGTTCACTGCAGCATTATTTACAATATCCAAGATATGGAAACAACCTATGTGTCCAATGATAGATGAATGGACAAAGAAGATGAAGACGAATGAAATCTTGCCATTTGCAACAACACAGATGGACCTCATGAGTGTTGCTACAAACTCTCAGTCATAAAAGAAATAAACCATGAGGAAGTAATGTACAACATGGGGTCTATAATCAATAATATTGTACTGCAAATTTGAAAGTTACTAAAAATGAAATCTTAAAAGTTCTCATCATAAGAAAAAAAGTGTTACTTTGTACGGTTACAGGTAGGTAAATACACTTATGTGGTGATCATTTTGCAACGTATACAAATGTTGAATCATTATGTTGTACACACTTGAAACTAATGTGATGTGTATCTCAACTGCGCTTCAATAAAATAAATATTGCTGTGGTGCCATGGTCAGTGTACTTCATTTTTCAGCTAAATCCAGATCTTATGCTAAGATTTTTTGTTTCCTCACTACACATAAAGGAGGGAAGAGGGCAAGGGGTTACAAAGGTTTTTCCCGGAAAAATAAATTGGGTCTAACTCCATGAGCAAACAAAACTGTCAAGGCCTCTCTGAGTTTATATAAAATGATTGCACCCAACAAAAAGTGTTTTGTCTTTCTTGCTAAACACTTTAATTTGTGGCTTGACAGATAATTAAGCAAAAGAAATACCAGGCCAGGCAAACAAAAACTGCCTTTTTGTTTCAGATATTCTTTGTTATTACAATAATTACACACACTTAAATCAGAGCTAAAGTCTTTTGAGAGAGAAGTAGTGCTGATGAAGGAAAAAGAAACTAAACTCCAAAACAAGGGCTGTTCAACACCCTGACTTCTCTGCCACTGAATAACCAGCTCACCTGGGCAAATCCTTTTCCTTTTCTGGGTTGAGTTTCCTGGACAATCCATGAAAACGATGTCTTATTAGTACAACTTATTAGTCCTTCTAATTTGCACTCACCTTAGTTATTAAGGGTCAGTTTCATAGCATCTGAGTTCCTAGTCTCAGCTTACATTTCTGTCCTTTGCTATTTCATTACCAATCTCCTGTTTCACCAACTATAGATCTATTTTTGGCAAATTCTTTCCTACTCTCTAGAACAGTTGTTCTCAGACTCTAGCCTGAGTCACAATCACTGGACGGTTGGGGTGCAGATTACTGGGCATATATCCCAAGAGGTTCTGATTCAGTAGGTCTGAGATAGGACACAGAATTGCATTCCTAACATCCAGATCATCCAGAGAATCTGCACGCTGCTGGCCCTACAACTGCTTGAAAACCACTAGACTGTAGAGAATATAAAAATGTTGATAAACTCATCTAAGGGCCTAGGAGTAGTAAAAGTTACCTCAACATAACTCTGAGCACAGCCACTCTGGCCTTCCAGCTCCACCTGGGTGAAGTTGACCTGTATTTGTTCTCCCAGGGGCTGCTTTATAATATAGATGCATTGTCTGTTGTGAGTGAAAGGTCCAGACAAGTCAGAAAAGAGAAGGCCCTCTGGGTCTGTGTAGTTTCCTCCACAACGTAGATCCGCTGAAGAGAACAGGGAAGAGAAGGGAAAGGTCATGCGAATGGCCATGCCTGTGGCTCTCAGGCATTACATACCATTTTTAGAAACTCACACCCATACACACACAATCATATATCCACCTAATTCACCCTGTACAGGTTTATGTCTCCAATTATATTTTCAGTTTGTTGTGTGCTTGTGGAACATCCATGTAGAGCCGAAAGAAATAGACACAGAGATGCGTAATCTAACTTCCAATCTAACGTCCTCTTCTACAAATTGCTCTTTGATTGTTTTAAGTTTATTTATTTATTTTGAGAGAGAAAGAGAGAGCATGAGCAGGGTAGGGGCAGAGAGAGAGAGGGAGAGAGAATTTCAAGCAGCCTTGAGCCCACGAACTAAGAGATCATGACCCGAGCCGACCTCAAGAGATAGACGCTTAACTGACTGAGCCACCAAGGTGCCCCTACAAATTGCCTTTTATTTTTTTATTTATTTATTTTTCTAAATTTTAACGTTTATTTATTTTTGAGACAGAGAGAGACAGAGCATGAACAGGGGAGGGGCAGAGAGAGAGGGAGACACAGAATCCGAAACAGGCTCCAGGCTCTGAGCAGTCAGCACGTGGGGCTCGAACTCACGGACCGCGAGATCATGACCTGAGCCGAAGTCAGACGCTCAACTGACCGAGCCACCCAGGTGCTCCCAAATTGCCTTTTAAATACGTTTATGTTCTCCTTCATTCCAGAAAGATTTGAGGCAGTTTATAAAAGACATGTGACAAAAAATATATATACAACTAGACAAATGAATCCAGTTAAAGGAATAATGAACAGAGAACAGCAGGATGTGCTCAGGGGGGAGTGACATGCACAGAGAACAAGTATGCACCGACCACACAGATTACAAAAAGTTTACTATAAATTCAGCCCGAAGGCAGAGTGAATGAAGAAAGGAGACCTGTGGAAGATGTTCACTGTTAGTTTTCCTGATATTGAGACTTGAAAGGTGTTTTTCCTGTGAATTCTCATCAGAGCACAATGATGTACGTTAAGAATAAAAGCCCCAAAGTAAAAATCATAGAGGGGCCACCCGGGTGGTTCAGTCGGTTAAGCATCCAACTTTGGCTCAGGTCTCGCGGTTTGTGAGTTCAAACCCTGTGTCGGGCTCTGTGCTAACAGCTCAGAACCCAGAGCCTGCTTCAGATTCTGTGTCTCCTCCTCTCTCTGTCCCTCCCATGCTCATGCTCTGTCTCCCTCTGTCTCTCAATAATAAATAAACATTAAAAAACTTTTTTTTTAAATCAGAGTATTTTCTTGTTTTTCATTGTTTGCTGGTTTGTTTTAAGATGTCAACACAAGCTCTAAGCATAAAAGCATAGCATAGTCCCTCACATTCATATGAAGCTCCCAGTTGTTCAGGTTACTTACATGCTGATGTTAAGTAGGTGATATGGAAGCCTTGGTCATTAATCTGGTTGTCAGAATGAAAATGAATTCTGGCAAAGGGACCTGTGGTCTGCAGTGGTGGTACAGAGAAAGTGGTGCAGAACTTTCCAAGAACGGGGTCCTGATACAGAGGACCATCTCGAATCTAAAACAAAAGAACGAACCATTAAGCACAAACAGGTCAGATGTTGACAAAACGAGTCATTTTGTACCTTAACTTCAGAAAACCTGTCATTTGAAACTGGTGGCTCTTACGGGTTTTCCCATCTCGCACATATCAGCTGCAGCTCACTAAAGGGTAGTCCCCTGCACCCATCATCCCTGATGCCGTATCTTCTGTCTAAATCCTAATTCCGAGGCTAGATGTGTACTTTGAAATCTTCTCATGAATCTTTCTCTATGTTTTCTTTCCTAGGTTCCCCCCCCACCAGGTGTTTGTTTTGAAATGATAAATTAATTCCTAGTAATTGAGAAGGAGAAAATGAATATATTGAAAGAAAATAGAAGAAGGAATGCTAACAATGTTGACTGATTCACAACTTGTTTCAGAAGGATCAGAGGTGGAAAGGAAGTGAAGTCAGATCAGACACAACATAAAGACAGTTTAAATGTATTTTAAAAGTATATAATCCTAATACTAATTAGGTACTGTGACAATGATCGTACGATCTGAGAAATTCTTTTTAATTGTTGGTTTTTAATTTCTTAAATAATCACGGTAACCTCTCTATAACTGTTGTAACTGCAAATCCTGTACATCATAGAACACCAAACATCAGTGAACAAAATAATATTTTAACATGGCGAATTCCGTCCACTCAAATTACTTTTTCTATTGGCCGCAAAGCTATAGGACAGCATTATTCTATTCCTATATATAACTAGTTCCTTGAAATATTGTTGAGAAGTGAGAAGCATTTCAATATTATCAGAATGATTAATGCTTTCTATTATATATGTATCAAGGAATTATGTAGGAGCAAAAAACAAAGCCTCTAATTTTAATATGATGGAACTCACTGAAATTAATTTCAAAAAATCCATGCTACTGTCAACATTTAAAGGATTATGTTGCTGAAATTTTCCAGGGAGGGGTAGATCTTCCAGTCATTCCCAAAGGTTTCAAATCCATTACAACTGCTAAATTACTAATGACTTTCATTTGTGGAGATCCCTGTTTGTCAGTCACACCTTTCTATCCTTTGTGAGTAATTCCAAAGCCCTCCATTCTCTAATGGACTTGGAAGGGCATATTGTCTTTTATCACTACTGCAAGGACTACTGTGATTTATGGTAACAAAAAGACAAGAGCAATGTAAAAACTCAGTCTTCTCAATGATCTTTTCAGTCTATAAATGCAGAGCAACATTTCAGATATACCTATATGCTTAGGGCATTTGAATACAACAGCCCATTTTTCTACTTGTATAATTTAAACTTTTGCTAATGGTAACCAGGAGGGACACAGATTGGCTCTTCTTCTCCCAATGACAATTATGAGTATATTCTAGGCTCACCCTTTAGCAATGCATTACAACACAATTGCTCTTAAGTTATTTTTCTTCATGGAACAATATAGCCAGCTTGTGAAATAACATGTTGGGTTCCCAGAGATAACTGAAATCTTGATTCTGCATTGGAAAAGATACCCGTTACTAAATGTTTATTTTGTTAATTCTTCTGTTCCCTTATTAGGGGACTGGGCTTCCAGGAAATGACAGGGAAAAGTAAGGCAGTCTATTTCCCAGATTCAAATGAGACCCAGAAGAAGCAACAAGCTGGCACAATTAAGAATAAGGAATCAGCAAAGGCTCAGACATTGGCTGCCTACTGAAGACTATATCTAACTATTGCAAGGAAATTGAAGTCATCCACAGGTATCACCAAACCATAGCTCTTTGAGTTCTAACCATATCATGACATGTTCTATCTAATTACATTTGTTTACCTCAAGATAATCTTTGCTGCAATCATCATGGTGCTCCAGACTCAAGGTCCCAAAAGTAAATGTTATCAAGAGGCCAGGACTGGTTATAACTTTCCAGACACAATCTCTTCCTGAAGGATAGTTTCCAGGATATCCCGGAGACTTAATAGAACCATAAGTGCCTGTCAGTACACCTCCACACTCTAAAATAAGAGGAAAAAATAACTTGACATTTGTATACATGTTATAATTTATATAGCGTTACGGAAGTCTTTATTGCAAGAAGACAAGCTTTGTTGAAATATCTATGTACAGTTTGGGACACCCTCGTAAATTAAACAAGGCTTTCAGTTTTCCAATTTGATACAGTTATAAATCTAGGAATATTAATTGATAAATGAATGAGTCACATGCATTGAGCTCTGTGCTTATCAGCTATTACATGGTGATATGATTTTAAAATATAGTGCTGAACTGTCTGAGGGATGAATAATGAGATAATAGATATATTGTTTTCACTTTGAGGGAGATTAATTTCTGCATAACTTTTACAAGTTCTGGTTCTTAAAGAGTTCTCTTTTTTGTAAAGTTTTTTCATTTGTTTTTGAGAGAGAGACTCAGAGCACGCATGCTCAAGTGGGGGAGGGGCAGAGAGAAAGGGGGACACAGGATCTGAAGCGGGCTCTGCACTGACAGCAGAGAGCCTGATATGGGGCTCAACTCATGAACCGTGAGATCACGAGCTGAGCCGAAGTCGGATGCTTAACCGGCTGAGCCACCCAGGTGCTCCAAAAAGTTATTTTTAACTCTTAAAAAGTTCTAGAACTTCTGTTACCCCTATGTCTTTCAACAAACCAGATTGTTTCATACATTAGAATAGTTAAGTGCTACATACTTTTCATGTGAGAAAATTTCTTAACACTAGGATAATAATTAAACTCTTCATTTTATAAATTGAACATATTCAAATATGCATGGGCAGTTGCCTTGCTCAGGAATGGAGTGAAAGAAAGGTGGGACCAGGCTTTGTGACACCCACTCCACTACCACTCAATTAATTACCCCCCAGAGTTGTATGTCAGTGACTGGAAGTATCTTTCCTTTATTAATACTCACATTTACTTAACGAAGAGTCTGTGATGGCTTATAAGAAATACTAATGTAAAATTGAAAAATAGAGATACTAAATAAAAATCTAGACTGTAGTAAATATAAATTAGAAAAAATAAAATAAGGTGGTATCTCAGATATGCAAGATGTGGGATCTACATAACTACACAGGTTACTTAGTAGACAAGTCTTTTGCCAAGGCAAAAAATGAGACAAGTTAGTTACATGATTCTCACTGTTGCTAATACAAAAACACCTCAGTTGCTCAGAGGCAGAGAAGTTTCCTAAAATTTGGAAGTTCAATTACCATATGGGTAAAAAGAATTACAATTCCATAAGCAAAGTAAAATGTTAACGGAGACCTGGGGAAAAAAATTCAATATGTAATACAAAGAGTTAACATCTCTAATATATGAAGAGCTTCTAAAAGGAGTAGAGACATAAAGAGTTCACTGGTAAAAATTCAAATGTCCTTTTACATGGAAAAGATGTTCAGCCTCACTCTCAACAAGGGACATACAAATAAGAACTTTGCTGAGACACCATTTCTTAGCTCTCAGAATGATAAATATCCAGAATATTGAAAACAAATTCTGGCGGTGCTGTGGGGAAACAGGCACTCTCATACATTGCTGATGAGAACACAAGAGAACACAACTCTTACAGAGGAGACTATGGCAAAGTCTAGCAAAAAGTTAGGCATTTATTTTTTGACGAAGCAACCACACTTTTAGAAATTGATCTCAAAGATACATTGGCAAAAATGCAACAAGACAAGTTCACAAGGACTTTGTCGCAGTACTATCTGGAATTCCAAAAGGCTGGAAGCAAGGCAAATATCTGACGAGAAAGTCCTGGTTGAATAGACAGTGTATGAGATGTCTATTAATGGCACACTATGGTCTAGTTATGGACTAGTCTCTATGACACATCAAGTGAAAAAGCAAACTACAAACCAGTGTATATTGTATGTTACCTTTTTTTAAAGGGAAAAATATGATTATATGTGATTATCTACTTATAGTTTTGAAATGGAAGGATAAATCCAAGACTAATACAAATTGTTACCTTTTTTTAAAATTTATTTATTTGTTTTGAGAGAGACAGAGACAGCTCTAGTGGGGGAAGGGCAGAGAGAAAGGGAGAGAGAGGGTCCCAAGCAGGCCCCCCGTTGCCAGCACAGAGGTCAATGCCAGGCTCGAACCCACAAAGCCAGGAGATCATACCCTGAGCCGAAACCAAGAGTCAGATGCTTAACCTACTGAGCTACCCAGGTGCCCCCAAAATTGTTACCTTTTAGAGAAGAAAGGAATAAAATGGAAGGGACAAGGATAAAAGCTAGACTTCTCTAAATTTACCATGAAGTTTGATTTGGCTTTGGAACTATGAATATGTTTCACATAATGATAGAGCAAAATTCAATAAAAATGAAAAAGTGAAATCTTTAAACTCACAGGCAAAACGAAATGACTATATTAAGCTAGCAGTTTAAACAGGGAGAGGAGAAATATTCCAAGACGCTTTGAAACACTGTAAAGTTTGATTGCAGAACTGGAGTGAAACATATATTAAGTACAAAAAGAATAATTGAGAAATACGAAATGGCTTTCAGTTATCATGTTATTAGTAATAATATTAGTATTGTTATTTTGAAAATTCACACGGTAGGATTAAGTACATAGGTAATATGTGAATGTCACTGGGAACTCATTTCACGCAGTGAGAAGAAGTGCAAACATAAAGTTAAAAAACCTGTAATTTCAATATGCCAATATTTTGGAAGATCACTAAGAATACATGATATACCTTTCCTTTAAAAATAATAAAAATATTTCCCAGTTCTTTCCACTGAAAGTTCTAGAGACTTTGTTCAGTCTAGTAGCAATAGCCACTCCTAGCACCCAGGTTATGAAACCTAAATACCATTTCCCGGTAGAGAAGTATGAACTGTTCCAGTCCTAACACAATAAATATGTATGAAGAACCTGGAAAATCTTTCAGGGAAGAAAGCAAGAAAGTTTCTAAAGATAACAGAAACTTGGGTTTCTATTGGGTCAAAGAGGCTTAGAAACTATCAGTTCTCCCACTAGCCAAATATGGAACATTTTAACATTAAAAAATCTAGAATGGATTATATCAAATATGATAAAATGTGTGTTCCTGAGTATTAAAATCAATAAAAAATAAAAGAAATAATGACTAATTGTTCATTCTGGAGAAAGCTAGGAAGCCAAGTCATTAATTTGAATACTGGGGAAATATTAGGAGAAAGAATCAAGCATGTATCCTATGTTTCCTTTATGATCTATATGGGAGCGTAACCAAATAGTTGACATGAGAAAGATCAACTCTACTGAAGAACTCCAGACAATAAATAAGGAAGAAATGGTAAAATTCAACTGTCATCATTTTGAAAGCCCCAGTGAACAACTAACCTAAACAATGAACCTAAGGGTTGCTAAGACCATTACAGAAAGTGTGAAGGTTTCTAATGGAAATATCAACCAGGGACAGTCAAAACACTCAAATCAACGCTGCAGTCATAAGAGGGAGACAAGTGGATATCCAGTACCTTCTAATGTGATTATTTTTGTCCCCTCAAAAATAAAACTTAACTGGATCGAACCTCTAGCTTGATTTAACTACCTGTTTATAGCATGAGGAATGGCACACGGGATATAAACAGCAAAATCTAGACTCTGGGATAACAGCAGTTTCTGTAATAAATAAATGTGAGCAATGATTAGGATTCTGTAATTGTAAGGAATTATTGTTTGTTTTAGTTTTGTTTTCAGGCACTGAGAAGCAAACAGTGAAGGGCTGTGATCTTGAGCGAAGGGAAGGGCAGCACATGTGATAAATCCCATGTTCCTTCCAGGATTCTCCCTGCAGGCAGCTTCCAAATTACACACAGCACAGGGCAGTGGGAGTCCAAGGAGCAGCAATCCTCTTACTGGGTGAAAGAAACAAAATTCAGAATTTGGGGCTACTAGAGTGGCTGGGATTTTCGAATAAGGTACTATAGAGAAGACAGCTGCAGGACAATGGCACCCCAAAAAGGTATAGGAGTTTCTTTGGGCCCTTAGCTGAATCTTAAGCTGTATATGCACAGGGAAAGACTCTAGAAGGCCTAATAAAAAATATAAGAGCTACGAGACATAGTCAAAGTCTCCAGCATATGTGTAATTTGAATCCCAGAAGGAGAGGAGAGAAGAAAAATAAAAGAAGCATCATCTGATCATCTCCATAGATTTAGAAAAAGTATTTAATATACCTCAACATCCATTCATGACAAAAACTCTTGACAAGCTAGGGATAAAAAGTAAGATGGTTTAAAAGCATTCAAAATATCTTTGACACTTCTTCCATTGAGATGGGGTCTATGTCTCCTCCCCTTGAATCTGGGTGGGCTTATGAGTGTTTCAACCAATTAAAAGAATGGCAGAAATAACAATATGACTTCCAAGATAGGTCAGAAAAAGCCATGCAGCACCTGCCCATGTCTGTTGAAATGGTTGCTCTAAGAAAAACCAAGGACCACGAAAGAAGTTCCACTAGTCTAAGACCAACATCACAGAGGGGCTACATGTAGGCACTCAAGTCAACAGCCTGGTTCAACTCTTATCCAAAAGCCAGCATCAACTGAGCGAGCTTGGGTTTCTAGCCTCACTGAGCCTTTAGATGACTACAATCCCAGCCAACATCTGGTAATAACTGCTCACCAAATCAAATGACAATTGGTCTCTTTCCAAATTCTTGGTCCACAAAATCAGAAACGTAATAAAATGATAAATGTTCTACAACACTAAATTTGTGGGTCATTTATTATACAGTAATAGTAATTTGCAGCAAACTTCCTTAAACTGATAAAAGTTATCTACAAAAACTTACAGCTAAAACATTATATTCAATGGTGAAATACTGAACATTTCCCATGAGGTTGGGAACAAGATAATAATGCCCAGTCCACCACTTTTGTTCAGCATTGTACTGGATGTCCTAGCCAGGGCAATAAATAAGTTGAGGGAAAGAAAGAAATAATAGTTACAAAGATTGGAAAGGGAGGTGTTACAAGGAAAACCACAAGCCCAAAATGGTGCCACTTAGGCCAAGTCCTCAAACTTGGGCTTAATACCTAGTCTAATTGTACTTTCAACCTTCCCCAGAAATATAATCTTAACCTGTCAGTCAGGAATTTTCCACTCAGTGCCATGAGTCTGCCATATGGGTTTTCTCCATCTCCCAAAGGAAGATGAGGTAATCTGCATGATCAGACCCTTTACTCTTCCCCCTAAGGGAAGACCTTGCCTGGATCAATCTTTTTCTTTTGCTAATAACTTCTTGCCTTGCCATTCCTTCCTATAAAAACTTTTCATTTTATATAATTCCTTAGGGCTCCCCTCTGTTTGCTGGATGGGATCCTGACCAATTCAAGCATTATTTCATAAAGACAATTAGATTCAAATTTACTCCATTAAATTTTGTTTCTTAACAAAGAAAAACAGGCTTTATTCATTGAGAACATAGCTGTGTATGTAGAAAAATCCAAAAGAATCTACTAAAAAAACTATTAGAATTGATTAATGAATTTAGCAATGTGGCTAGATTCAAAATCAAATATTTTTTAAAAATGCATCATAATTCTATATACTAACAACAAATAAAAATGCCATTTTAGAAAACGGCATCATTTTACATAATGTAAAATATTCAATATCTAGAAAAAGACAACAAAATATATGGAATCTATAAACCATCGCTAAGATAAATTATAAGAGGGCTAAATAAATACAGAGATGGTCCATGTTCATAAATTGGTAGGATCAATATTTTTAGGAATCCCAGAAGATTGGGGAGGGGGGAAATTAAAAAATTGATTCTAAAATTATAATATATATATATAATATGTAAAATATAATATATATATTTAAAATATAATATATTTTATATATAAAAATATGTATATATTTTTTAAAATTTTTTTAGAGAGAGAAAGCAAATACATGAGCAGCAGAGAGGGGCAGAGGGAGAGAGAAAGAGAATCTTAAGCAGGCCCCATGCTCAGCACAGAGTCCCCATGGTGCTTGATCCCACGATCTTGGAATCATGACCTGAGCCAAAATTGAGTCGAATGCTCAACCAACTGAGCCACAAGGTGCCCCATATTGAGCATATTATAAAAGACAAAGTTGTAAGATTTACACTACCAGATTTCATATTTCAGTAGTTAAGCCAATGTGCCACAAGGATAAATAGACCAATAGAAAAGATAAGAAATTCCAGACATAAATGCACAGATTTATTGATGAATGAATTGGAGCTTCAGTGTACTGCTCTCTTTACTTTTTTACATGTTTATAAAGTGTATAGTAAAAAGCTGAAAAAAAAAAAAGTAGAGCTCCAAAAGGCAAAATACCAACGCAAAGAATGAATTATCAAATGGTCACTAAGATAAGGAATACTAAGTGAAGGAGTAGACAATGTCATCAACAATATCCCTGCAGTAATTTACTAGTAAAGTTTATAAAAATGTTGTTCAGTAATTTCATAAGGGGTCCATTCAGATTCATGATTTCTCATCTTTTTCATTCATCCAAATTTTATTATCTCTGAACACAAAATGAAATTTCAATGTATTGCAGATTTATTTGATGTGAAAGGAATTACAAAAGTATTATATAATCCTTAGATCTCAAAACATGTAATGTTATCCACAAGTCTAATACTAATCAAGAAAATTTACTGATCTCAAGATTTTGCTCTATTTTTCTTTTTGTTTACACTTACCTGGTTGCTGTGTTTCCCATCTTATTGTGAAGCCTCTCTCATTTCTTAAATGTTCAGAGTAGAGATGAAAATACAGGGCATTGTCACTACTGAGGAGTTCATGAGGGGGAACAGAGCCACAGAATCTTCCAAGTTGAAACGCTGCAGAGGAGTCTCCATCATGAACCTGAAGAAACTCGTGTGGACAATTGTTCACTGATTCTAACTGGAAAAAAGTGAAAGTGATACGCAGCACCTAAAAACATAAAGGTCACAATACATTATTTTTCACTTCCATGTCAATTCTAAAGCATTTCTCCCAATAAGGAAGCATTCATATTAATTTACCTTTCAAGAGACAGATCTATAATTTCCCAATTATCTGCAAACACATATGACAACCCTACATATTATTAAATAACTTGTGTTAAAAATTGCTTAGGCTTCTGCCAATATCAAAATATATCAAAAATCTTGATGTTAACAAATTAGATTTTTAACAGCTTTATTAAGGTATACTTGATATACAAAGAACGATACATATTAAATGTGTATAATTGGATGAGTTTGGACATATACCAACACCTGTGATGCCATCACCACAGTCAGTGTGCTAGGCATATTCAACACCTCCCAGAGTTTCCTTGCGTCTCTCTTTCTTTTTTTTCTTTTAGTGGTCAGAACACAACATGAGATCCACTGTCCTAACAAATTTTGAAGTGCATGATATCGCGCTGTTAACTATAGGCACTATGTTGAACAACAGATCTCTAGAACTTACTTATCTTGTATAACTGAAAATACCCACTGAGTTGTTACTGAATCGGTTAATAAAATATTTGTACCTAGATTTCATTTAACTGTCAAGTCCATTAAACATAGGCACTTCAAATGTAGAGCTGACAATCACGCTTCGAAATCAGTAAAATACAACGGACATCTAAAAAACCTACCTTGAATTAAGTTTAACTGACAAATATTACCATTCACAAGAATGTATACCCTGATCACCTGAATAATCTGTAGTGTGCAGCATCCACACAAATGTTCACTGATCCCCGGAGATGCTGATTCCTGAGGGTTCTCTGAAGCTCTTAATGAGATACTAACAGATTGACAACTTCAGGTATAGACTGAGGTAGGCATGGTATAGATATGTGTAAAGTCCCCAAGTCTTCAGTGGTTGGATATCATTAAGAGATGGGTGACACCAAGAGTGGAGAACAGGGAAAAAGTAATCTGAAGTGTTCTGAGCATACAAGTAGAAGAGAATAAACCCAAACATACATTTCCAAGTTAAAATGTTAGAATGTACAAACTCAAATATAATGATATACTTCATATAATAAAAATTTTTTGGATAGTATCATTTAAAACAGCCAAATTGCTAAAAAGGAAGCTGTTGAATTTGATATCCATCGTGATCTAAAACAACAACAGCATTCAGCTAATGAAAAAGGATATCAGGATATTTTTGAAATTCTATGCTAGGGTATTTTTAAGATCTGTTACCCAACATTACATCATTTTTGTCCTTGAAGAAATTTCAATAAAAATTGAATAAATGTTCATGAACTGAACTATCCTGATTTCTATAAAATTTCTACTATATTGTGCAAATTGTGGAGATAAGATTTAAAAATCAAAACAACCAAGGAAAACAGCCAAATTTATTTTAGAAATCGATAATAAAACTATTAACATTTTTTCACAAAATGACTTTTCTTGAAAGAAAAATGTTTTCAATGTCAGGAAATAGAATTCATGAACACTAAATGGAAGGAAGGAAATTCACATAACATACCCACTGGGAAATTGATTTTGGAGTTTATGCTATTATAGGGTCACCAGGCTCCAAAGAATCCTCCCTTCTCAAGGGAAAAAATGTTTTGTGACCATTGTACAATGACCCCCTGTAACATCAGCTCACAGGGAAAAGTTCACAGAATTGCAAGGGAACACCTTATCTATCCAGACACACAAGTTCATTTTAATGAGTCCAGGAGTTGGTTGAGAAATAAATATTTGGAAAAGTCTGAGTAATGAATGCTGGGGATAGAAGAACTAAAAACTTCAGGGTCAGATCTGAATTTGAGGAGTGTTCATGCAGCAGTCAGAGTCATCAGGGTTGAGTGGCCTGGGTTTGAGTCACTGCAGGCCACTTACACATTTGTCCATGTGACCCTGGACAAATTCCTCAGCTGCTCTAGGCTCCGTTTCCTCATAGTAAAATGAGAGTAACAATTCTTATCTCTCAGGGCTACAAGGGTTAAAATACAATGACACAATGTCTGTGAAGCAATTAGCACAGCACAATGGCACACCCAATGGCACAAAGAAGCACGGATAAGAAAACCATCTTAATAGCAGTCCCTATTTTTGCATAATAATCAGCAGAACACTGAGTGGTCTTCCTCAAACACTAGTGTCTCAGTGAGAGCAGGACTTTACAAATTCCCTGCTTGCAGTCAGCCAATCCCTGCAGAGAATTATCCATACTGGACAAAGCCTGGATTTTGAAGCCAGACAAACTTGACTTTGAAATCCTATTCCTCTAATTACCAGCTAAGAAATGCTTTTAAAAAATTACTTAGCTTCTCTTAGTTTCCCTTATCTTATCTACAAAATAAGGACACTATTACTTTTTTCAAAGAGTCAGTGTAAGGTTTAGGAAAGATGCATAAAATATCTAGCCCAAAGCCTGACACCGAGCAAGTCCTCAATATATGATAGTTGATTTACCACTATGTGTATTTTATGGAATACATACACATATTACATGTTCGCATAGATAAATGAAATGTGCATTTAGACAGGAGCTATTACATTTACCTTTCCCTCTTCAGTTCGGATAACCCAGAAGCAGTTAACATCATGCACATAACCAACATCAGGGCTTTTATAGCTGAAGCTTCCATTCATCCCAGAGAGGGACCCTCCACAAACTGCCAAGGGAAAGAGGAACTGTTCTTTACAGAGACTCTGAAAAGGAGGAAGCTAGGTATCTCTCTCTAACCTTGCTGCTGAAATATTAGAGAAGTCTGAGTGATTAACATTGGAGACAAATGCCCTGTGGTTCTCTCTTCCTCCCACCCCTTTGTCTTTGGACACCCGCCTAAATCCCACCTCTTGTTTGAAGTCTACTTGGGATTTCCTTGCCCCCACCAGGAACCTCTTCTGCCCCTTTTTGTTTTCTCTGGCTCCCATTCCCTCCACCTCAGTGATACTTGATTTGACCCCAAGCAACTTAGTTCTTATCTACTTCTTGTCTCTCCTCTGCCATTTTGGATTAGATGTGCCTCCTCAACCAGAAGATCAGCAAGTAATATGTGGAGATAGTGTTTTATGCTTATTTTCCCACAGCATCTACCATAGTCCTGAACACATAGTGAGGTCTCAATAGACGTGCTGATTCAGAATCAAGAGTTCTGAGAGAGGACAAGTAATCAGGAGAGGCTGGATGAAGGAGATTGAAGCTTGAAGGTGAAGTACTCCTGAAGGACAGATACATTTGGATGTGAAGCAATGGAAGAATTCAGACAAGTATGGAGAAATAAATATCTCAAATATTGGAACACAGCATGGTGGTACATGGGATCAAGTGACAAGAAAAGATATCTACATTGGAAAGGGAGTATTATTAGGAAACTAGTGAAAAATAAGGTTGATTGGATAGGGTAAGGCCTAGTTATAGAGGATAATTGAGAAACAGTCCCAATCTTTAACAGGCAACGGGGAGTGACTGTATGTTCTAGAGCAGGAGAGTGATACGATTTAATGAGTAATATTATAGGGAGATTAAACAGCTGCTGTAGAGAAAACTTCCCTTAGAAAATGGCAATACCTTAGCATACTCTGTTTTCAGAACAGACGTAATAAAAATGGCAAATACCAATTTACTTCTTCCTTTGAAGGAAGGTTCTTCTTGGCCTAAATTGAGATAAATACTTACCTTGTAAATTCTATACTAGTGCTTGAAGGAAAGACTTAGTTGGAAGCATTTGTGCAACTAAACAAGAAAGTGGAAGAATCCGCAGCAGGACTCACTGAGGAATGATCCTTCTAAGCTGTGGCACAAGAGACACTGAGCATACCTTGCTGGGGAATCTGACACAGAAATCCAGTCCAGAAACGTGTGCATTCACAACTGAATGCATTGACGCCATCCACACAAGTTCCCCCATTCAAGCAGGGGTTGCTCAGACACTCATTTATATTTTCTGTACAGTTGATGCCGGCCCAACCTGATTCACACTTACAAAGATAACCAGAAACCGTTTCCTAGGGAAAGAAAACCATAATGCCATGAAACAAATCAATGGACGATAAACGTTGAGCCAACTCAAAGAACAAAGAAGGGTTATGTGATGTATGTAGCAGGTGTTGAGCCACACACACCTTCTAGAATTCTTGTAATAATTCATTTAAATGGTAACGGCTAAGGAAGGAAGAACAAGGACTCACAATGCATTGTCCATTTAAACAGGGGCGGTTCGAGCAAACATTACTGAGCTGCACGCATCCATTTGGCCCATAGCCATTTCCAGTATATCCCGGGAGACAAGTACAGAGAGGTAAAGAACCTGTCAGAAATAAAAATGGAAGTGTAAATACAGGTCTCCTTCATTCAGACCCAGTAACAAAACTCAGGCTCTGTTGTCTAGACAAGGAATTGCCAAAATCAAGTCTGCATATCCCTAGGGGCAGACATGCCAACTATAAAGAGGAAGTATTAGGATCTTTTTCTATGTTTCATCTTAAAAATAAAGAAGGCATTACATTCCAATACTTGATGCACAAATTGACGTTGGTGCTATCAGTCCATATGTCACAGTCCTGAGTTGCGTACAAATGTGAGGTACGCCAAGGGAAAAAAGAGTTTCTCACGGAGGGGTTGAGAGAAAAGAATATTCTTATGAACAAAGACAGTATCTGTTGCAAGCACTGGCCCTATATGGACTATAAATAGGTACTCTTTTAATGCCCGTTTATAGATGAGAACAAAACACAAAAAGGTTAGGTGGCTTGACCCAGGACACACAGCTGGAATACAGTGAAGCCAGGGAGAAAACCAAAATCCGAGCATTATTTTTCTAGAATCCATGTTCTTAACCATTTCAGTATGCTCTGAATCATTTAATAAATGTTTAAATAGTCATAAATGTACATGTATGTGTGTGTGTATACATCTATATTCTTTTACATATGTGCTTATATATATATATATCACATATATCACTCGTAAAAATAAAAGTAGTATTTGGAAATAGCAAGAGATACGATACTTTATTCAATAAATGAAGTTGGAGCCACCCATTTGAATAAAACTATCAAGCAAAATGTTTGATGCCATAGATACAAATAAATCTTAAAAAGATCCAAGATCTTAATGTTAAAAATAAAAGAAAGTATAAAAGAACAAGCACCTGACTATTTTTAGAGTTCGGTAGGAAAAGCCTAATTCTAAGAGGAGAAAATCCTATAAAAAAGATTTACCTTTTTGACTACATAGAAATTTTAAACTTCTAAATAGAAAATGCCACCACAAAATTAAAATAAAAACAATATGCCAGGGAAAATACATGTAAACCATAAAACAGATAATGATATATTATTCTTAGTACATAATGAAATTTTACACATCAATGAGAAAACAGATGAACAAAGGACATAAAAAAATAGAAAAAAATAAAGGTAGTAAAATATAAAAAGTATTAATTATTGGTAATCAAAAAGGTAATTTTGATGTAGTCAAAATCAAAATAATAGGAAGGCAATTTTTGCCTGTAAACTTGACCAAAATGAAAAATAACAGTAGTATCCATTATTGCCAAGAGTGGGAAACATGTAGTTTCATACACTGTTGGCAAGTATAAACTGATACATTTCTGTGAGAAAATTTAGCAATATATATTTAAAATATTTTTAATGCTTATTTATCTTTGAGAGAGAGAGAGAGTATAAGGTGGGGAGGGGCAGAGAGAGAGGGAGACACAGAATCTGAAACAGGCTCCAGGCTCTGAGCTGTCAGCACAGAGTCCCGTGCGGGGCTCAAACCCATTAACTGTGAGATCATGACCTGAGCCCAAGTCAGATGCTTAACCAACTGAGCCACCCAGGTGCCTCAAGCAATATATATTTTTTAAATTATAGGAGGTGAAACTTCTTTTACACAGCATTGCAAACACTGTTGGTTATCCCCCTAGATCCACTTTTCCATTCTTTCGTAGTGAATTCTTTTTTAACTGAGGGCATAAGCTCCTGAAATAAACTACATTTCCCAGCCTGACTTGCAGCCAGGGTTAGCAACAGGGCTCAGTCTTGGCCAATAGCATAGAAATGAAAGAGGCCTTAGAAGGAGTTGACAGGTGGTCCTTCCTCCTTTTCTCCTTCCTATGTGCTCAAACACAGTCATAAATTTAATTAGCTGGCTTGATTATCTTGGGAAATATTGCTAATTTAGACCAGACCACAGAGAGCATAGTCTACCACATTAAAAAAAAAAAAAATCCAAACGTATAGTTTTAAAACATGGATTATTTTTGGTTTGAAGATCAAAATAAGAACTTTGAGGTTAGAGGATTGTTTTCAAAATGTTGATTTGTTTCAGAAGGTCATATTGAAATACCCCAAACCAGAGGCAGAGGGGAGTCATTACCTAGAACTGAGGAGCATGACGCATGTGGGTGGCAGCCTCCATTATCAACCAAGCAGACATTGACGAGCGTGCACACTCTTCCATTGCCTTGGTACCCTGATCACAGAGAGAACAGGGCATGACAAACAACATTAAGAAGATGGAAGAAGAATCCCAATCCAAGAAGCAAACATTATGAAACCCAACCAGAGAGCTTCTATCATCACAACAGAAAAGGTAAATATGAAGTGCCATAAACAAATTCCTATCGTTAAGAAAAAGGACAACCATTTGGGAAACTGACTGCAGAAACCATGTTCTAATGGTGTTTCTAAGGACAAAAAAGGAAATGAATAAAGATGAAAAGATGCATGAAACTACTGGTAGACTGAGACAGTTGCTGACACTCAGCAAGTTGACATTTTCTAATTACAGTGACTTTAATGATCTAAGAGCTAAATTACTGTAGAAGTCCCAAGTACTAACTTAATAAAGCAAATAGGGTTTCAGTTTATCCCTTAGAACTCCATAAACTTCTTGGATAGTCACTCAGTTTAGATCACAGAATACCAGTAATGACTTCTTTCCAGAAGAGAAGAGAAACTCTGAACAGGTATTATATGCCTACTAGTCTGCCTGTTACTGAGTAAACTTTACATGCAAAACATCTCATGAGTATTTGTGGGAACAATGGAGCTGTAGGTCTGTGATCCACAGAGAAAATTTTTCAAATTCTGCATTATCTCCAGAGGCTATTTCACAATTTGTAAAGTTTTGTTGTTTTCCAGTGGTATTAAAAATATTTGTTATTGCTTTTTATAATAGAGCTGACCTAATGTGCCCTGAATCTGTAAGTTAAATAAAACTTTCTGCACTGCTCAGTACATCTCCTTAGACAGAGTCATCTTTAAAATGGAGCACAAGACCATGTTTCCAAATGTATGTTTTGCCTATAATGGTGTTGGGAAATTTGGCGTAGCACCTGGTGGACAGGCCTGACAGTGGTAAGACCCAAATGTATTCACACACGTAACAGGTGGAACCACAGAACAACCGCCATTATTTATGTCACATTCATTGATATCTTGGCAACTGTATCCGTTTCCTTGCCAGCCTAGAAAAACCAGAAGATTTGAAAAGTTAGCTCTATAGACAAGTTAACAACGAAGAAACGCATATAGCCAAAGATACATAAAAATTTGCTTCACTCTAAGAAACTACATATTAAAATGAGATTTTCATTCTTAAAAACAAATTCTGGCAAAGAGGCGGGCAAGTGAGGTTCTCATATGCTTTTAGTCAGAAGTCTATAATTAGTAAAACCTATCTGGAAATAGATCTAGCGGTACTCATTAAAATTTTTTAAAATATATACCTTTGGGGGCATCCGGGTGGCTCAGTCGGTTAAACGTCCAACTCCTGATTTCAGCTTTGGTCATGATCTCACGGTTCGTGAGATGGAGCTCCACACTGGGGCTCTGTGCTGACAGTGTGGAGCCTACTTGGGATTCTCTCTCTCCCTCTCTCTGCTTCTCCCCAATTCACTGGTCTCTCTCAAAATAAATAAACTTTAAAATATAAATACATATATATATATTTATATATATATATGTATTTGACTAACAAGTCCACTTCTTTTTTTGACTAACAAGTCCACTTCTAAAAACTCTCTTGCAGTGATAAAACTGCCAGCATCTACAGATGTAGGCAAGCAGAGGTCTACTGCAGTGTTGTTTAAAGGGGGGGAAAAGCCCTCTTGATCATCAATATGATTAAATATATTAGGACTCATGTTTACCGTCGAATACTATACAAATATTTTAAATAACATGCACATATTTAACGTTTTTCAAATATATACATTAGCTAATAACACCAACTTTTAGAAGAATATGCAAAGAATGATCCCAATTTGGAGAAAGAATTTTTTAAAAACCTGCATACGTGTCTATGTGTTTGTAGGAGAGAAGGAAAAGGAAGAAGAGGAGAGAGAACATGTGTTCACAGTGGTCTCGTTCAGAGCATGAGACTGAAGATGAAGAGAGAGTGTCATTTTACTGTTGGTATTTCTGCTTGTATCCATTGTTACCTTGAGTTGTATTACTCCTATAATAACGATTAAAATTATAAGAATGTTTAAAACCTTTTACATTTTTAAAAAATATTTGTTTTCATTGACTGAAACAGTCCCTCTCTAAAACCCTACCTAAGAAAATTATTGTATTTGTGGGTGAAGAAATGAATACACAGAAGAAAGCTGGAAGGAAATACATCCACATGCCAATGGTGGCCCTCTGAGTGATAAGACTATGGGTATTTTTTGCTGTTTTATTTTCATATTTTTAAAGTTTCTTTATATTTTATAAGCAGCATGTATTACTTTAATAGGCAGGGAAAAATAAGGTCATTAACAGGAAAACAAAAAGCTTTTGTTTTTCTTTTTTCTCTACAACGATATAAAGAAGAATCCTTTAATTCGAGTAATTTATTTTTCCGATTTCTAGTTTTGAAAGACTGTCACTGGCAAATTACCTTCAAGAATGTGGTTATTTGCTAATTTTATGTGCCCCTGAGACCTAAGAGGGAAAAAGTCTTCACGCGTTTTTTTTCAATTTCTTTCCAGTTACACAAGATCTAACCATGTACCATGAAGAAAGTCACTAAACCAACAGTCACAAAAGGAAGCAACGGGTGTGTGTGTGCTTCCCTTGATCAGACAGAACAACGGACTATTCAGCAGCTCAGCTCAGATCCGCAGATCTGGGTTTGAATCCCGACTATGGGATTTGGGACAAGTTATTTACCTTCTCCAAGTGTCAAGATCCTATCATTTAAAGTGGGAATAATACTATTTCCTAACATTTCTTGATTTTGTCACAGTTGCAAGAATCAAAATTTGCCTAGCACAGTGTCTCAGTGAGGTTTTCATGGAAGAACAGCTGCTATCACGTTCTCTTACATGTTCCACCTTCTAACAACACACGAGAAGTGCCAACGGGCCTTGGAGACTCCCTGAGGTCTGGTAAACTGCTTACCCGTGCACCCAGCAAGTGCTTTCTTTGCTCATAGTAGGCTCTACAAACATGCACTGAGTGGATGATAATGATCTCATATGGTGAGGGATGAAGCGTGGACTCAAGCCCAAGCAGTCTCTGAGTCCAGAGTCTATGTTTTCAGTGACTTGGCCTGGAGATTCGGTCCTCTGGGGGGCTGAGCTGGAGTCAGACATCCCTCTTTACAGCAAGGCCACCACAGGGCCTTCCAGTGACGTGCCCTGGTGAGAACTACAGGGGCTCTAGAGGTGACATTAAGAGGTCAACTAATCTGCCTACGTACAAACACCTGGCCAGTAAGGAGGGACGAGAGCAGGTCCAGTCAGCTGATGGCCTTAAGGATCAGATGTCTGACCTCACCACCGCCCCGGCTGACTCTGCCCCCCAGCGTCTGGCTCTGACCCTCTGATTTCTGAGGCTGAATTATTACAGAAGGAAGACGGCCTGCAGGGCGATGTAGGGAAATAGAACCTGAGATGGGATTGGGAGGCTTCCTAAGAACGGTCTCCTTATCTTTTGGCCGGGGAAGGAAAGCTGTTCTAGCACCTTGCCTGGCTGGGCGTGGCCGAGCCCACATACCTGTCGGGCAGGCCCCGCAGTAGAAGGAGCCTGGGGTGTTGAAGCACTGGGCAAGTGTGGAACACGGCGCAGGCTGGAGGCTGCACTCGTCGATGTCCAGCAGGCAGGCCGAGCTGCTCGGCGGGGACGTCCACCCCGCATCACAGATGCAGCTGTACATGGGCTGGCAGAATGACAAGAGTGTGAATCAAAGCAATCAGGAGAATAAGCAAGAAAAGCTTTTGAAAATCTCACCAAGCCCCCGACTGTTTATCCTCTAGCGTTCATTTCCATAAGGCCAATGGAGTGGCTTCTCTTTTTCTTCCCATGTGATTAAGCATTTAGACCCGACCACGCAAAAAGAGAAACATCTTTATTTCAGAGTAAGGAAAACCTATAATTTGCCCCAAAGATGCCAGGGAAAGAGCAACAACAATCAAGAACTGTAAGTCAATATAATTAAAGTCAATCCACTCAGCCCGCTATGTTTTTAGAGGGAAAAACACCCATGGAGGCACAGACCTTGGAAAATCCATTCTGTTTGTTTCCTTTTTGAAAGTCTTTCCTTCCCCTCCCAGCCACTCCCTCCTCCCACCACCACTGGAAAGGAACCATTTTCTATCAATGCGTTTAAAAATATACAGAGAGAGAGAACTAAAAATAAAGACCTGAAGGTCTCATACAAGGCCAAGCAGGCCTCGTATGCTGAGTGCTCTTGAGGGTCAGGAGTCAAGCTTGTCAGGATCCAGAGCACAGGGAGAAGTCAGGCAGTCTGCAGACAAACTCAGGGTCCATAGCACTCAAAGGTGCTCCGGAGCCAGAAAGAAATCCAGAACCCTCAGAACTGTGTGCTGCCACCAAGAACGGGCCTTGGTGTTTCCACATCTCGTCGCTGTTATAGCTCGCGAGGCCAAGAGAAGGTCATGTCTCACAGAGAGATTTATGAAGTAAAAACAAAAAAGGCAGGAATTTCTATAATGATACCACCTCTGGGTCCAGTTTTCTGTTTATTTATGGACAACTCTCATCTTTTTCCTCACCTGTGCCCCGATGAGAGCAGGAAGTACCTTCCTCTCTGGAACACTGCCAGAACGATGCTCCTCTACAGACATGCAGGCTAAGGGACTAATAGCAACCGTGACCCCCTCCACGAAGCCACGTTCTGGGAGGGACTCACCTCTCCAGCCTGCACTCGGACTAGATCCTCACAGATGCCGTGGACGCAGAGTGCTTTGGAGCCCCCTTCACAGTCATTGTATGTGGATGCACACTGGGGGCCGTGTGTCTCTGGGGAGCATAGACACCTGTTGGTTACACAAGAGCACAATGTCAGCGCCCGTGCCTCAGCACAAGTGCCTGTTTCTTAGCACCAATTAAAGAAAAGTAATAAGTCCAACTACAAGTCAATGACATTCACGTGGAACCATAAACTAGAAAACCAGATCTACTGGCTGGAGTCTTAGAAGAAAATCACTCTGCTCCGCTTCAAGCAGTGGGTTGAGTGAATGTGTTATCTCTCTCAAGAAATAAGACAGGGGCACAACTTACCATCTGGGCAAGACTGCCACCATAAATTCTTCTGGTATCAGGTCATCAAATAGCACTTTCAAAGGTCAGACATTCATAAACTAAGGGGGATGGAGTTCCTTGAGGATGGTAAAGGGAGAGATCAACAAGTCCATTCATCATCCATCCAACCAGACCCTCCAGTAAGCACAGGTGACCTTGACTGAGCTGATGTATTCCCAAAGGTTCTCTGGGATTGTATAACTCCACAGACAATGGTACGTCCACATCTCAGAGTATGCAATCCATATTATCGTATTACAAAGGGCAATAGTTCCATCTGTTAGAGATGTAGCTTAGATAATAACATTTCTTTCATAGCCACACTTTAACTCACAAATGCAATTTGACATAATACCCAAGCTTGCAGTGGGTGTTTTGCTTTGAGAAGATTTCAGTTCAATAACAATCAAATAAGGAAATTTGTTTTAAACTATTGTCATCCTTCAAGTTGCTGAGTTAGCTTTCTATCTGTACTACAGCTTCCGAGGGAATGTGGAAGGTATGGGAAAGGCAGGTGGGAATGGGAAGGACACAGAGGGGTCATAGAGCCTCAGCCTATTTTTGCAGGTTTGAGGGCATCCGATGGAGTGGAGAGCCAGGCCCGGAGTCACCATTTGTCTGCCTTGAGCAGCACTGGCCCTCATGGGGGAAGGTGACCATCGGGGTCAAGGATCAGAGACAAGGAATACGGAGTGCCTGCATGACCATGAACTAGAAGATGTTCCGAATCACACATGTCCGAAGATGAAGACACATGTGTGATTGACAGTGCGGGGAATGAGAGTCTGGCTGTTTGAGAAGCATCCAGAGCCACACTCGGGGCACAGACCTTGATGGGCCCGTGGAGGGCTCCAGAAACAATTGCTGGGGTGGCACCTTTGAGTGGGTTCTAAGGAAGAAGACATCACTGAATGTGACCAGAGACAGAGAGTAAAAACACGGACTCACTCACGCACTTCCATACAGAGTTGCCAGACCTAGCAAATAAAGACACGGGACACCCAGTTAAATCTGACTTTCAGACCAATGAATACTTTTTTGGTATAATTAAGTCCCAGGCAGCTTTCAACATCAGTATATCATTGTGTAAAACCTGTTCATTAATAAATTGCATTTATGATCATTCCAAGGTTGCCTTTCTCATTAAGACAAGCTCATAGACTAACCACAATAGATGATTAAACTTAAAAAACTTTTCAATTATTCATTCCCTATGTATAACTATTTATCTTCCTCTCATCTCTCTCTTTCCATACTCTCCCTCTCATACCCCCTTCCCTTTTCTTTTCACTCGCCCATCCTTACACAGAATATTCTTTTGGGAAATTTCATTAGATTCTTGAGATAATAGAACTTCACACTAGTTCATATATTTGAGCATTTGATCCAGCTAGCTTCCTTGCTGAAAGTTTATTCTACCACCACAGCCAGCCACCAAAAAAGATTTTTAAAAAATCTTGAAACCAACTTTACTACCTTTCTGAGCCTATCGTATATAAGAGATCTGAGTCTCCGAGACCAGATGGGACAAGACTGCCTGGATTTAAATCCTGATACTATCTATTAACTGTTCGCCTTAGGCAACATCATAACACCATTTCTTATAAAATAATAGTGCCCGTCTATGAGCACTATTTTTACCTTGGGGTCATCTAAAGACATTTTCTGGTAGGAAGCGATTGGGCAACTGTGTTTATCTATTGGAAAATGACTTAAGATTTGAGAGGAGATTCTGGTTCCTGGACATGCAGGTAAATCCTCTCTATCTCCTCCTTCTCACTTGGAGAAAATGAATGAATTTTAATCGCACACTTTCTGCTAAATAACTACAAAGTATATTTCTTTCATTTAAATGTAACTTAATGTGAGAAGACAGGCGGGGGGGGGGGGGGGGGAAGGGGCGGGGAGGGGGGTAGGCAGTGAAGCATATCACCAGCTTCCTTGCTATGATCCTCAAAGGCAAGTATTAATCTCATTTTACTGGCAAGGCTCACGTTGCCCAAGGCCACGGAATTAGAAACAGGCACAAGATGAATTAAAACCTAAGTCTGTGTTACTCTTGCTCCAATGTTTTTCTGTGTCATGTTCCCACATTGTGAAAGGTAGTTAGTTAAAGACTTTCCATTTCTGTGTCTTTTTAACATAACAGTGTTTGCATGCAAAATGTATTCTCAAGGCGGCTGCATGTGACCTTTAAAGTAAAAGAGTGACCATATCTATACCTCCCCGCACAAGTCACTTGCATAATGGCTTTCTATTGCTGATTTAGTTCTGGCCGAACAAAACTGGGCTTGTCAGTCTTCAAAAGCACTGCGAGGGCCTTTGGCAATTGGGAAGAGGTCAAATACACTTTCAAAGTCATAGTTTAACTTGCATTAGAGTCCATGGTTCAATATTAACGTAACTGACTCACTGAAAGAGGTAATGAGTTTAATACCTAACTACCATCCGAGCTAAAACCAGATTGTCCTCATCATTTAAACTCTGCATGTTTTAAAAACCCACCAGTGATGACAGTGGAAATAAATAAAATAAAGTGTGCTAATCATCACTGCACTCCTGGAGAAAACACACACACAACAAACTCAGCGATTTTTTTCTAGAAAGCCTTCTAGATCTGAGTGTATATGGCACACACCATCTATGCTTAGGAAATCTGCATCCCAAGCGCTGTCTTCAATCCAGAGTAAGCAGGAGGATGATAAACATCAATTCTTCAGAACAAAGAGGCAACAGCAGAATCAGGAAGTGGCAAAATATTGTCTGTTAACTCTTTGAAGCTTTTGGGGGCAAGACTTCAGCCACAGGAATTGCTGGAAACAGAAAATGGTCTCCTTGCCCTAGTTTCATTACTGGGGAAAGAAGTTTTTACCAGAAAATTTCCTAGGAAATAAGGCTTCCAATTAATTAGTATCTGCATAGTGCTTTATCTTTCAAAGGTCTTTGTAATTAGGAATTATTAATTTCTTTAAATAAAGACTCCTTTGTCCTTCCCCAAGTAAATGGGTTCCAAGAGTTAGAGGCTGAAGTAGGTCCCAAATCCAGAGCAAACCCTTTGCCATGAACACATTTCTGCAGGTCCAGACTATTCAACAGTGGCTCATTTCCCTTTAGCAAATGTGTACTGAAGATTCCCAAATAGTTTTCTGGCCTCAGAGAAGCTACTGATTAAGGGGCATTTAATCTCACGTAATTAATAGCACACAAGAAAATATCCAAATGTTCTCTGTTTCATTACACAGATTCCACAAAGCAAGCATTTAGTCTTTCGCTCATACACATTTTTCTATTTTCTGATATTCCTCCAAAAATTCTCCATCAAATGCCTGAATAGGAGTCTTTAGTTCATAGATATCAACTGGAATTCATGGAGCTTCATAAACTATCCTCACATCAAGAAGAAGAAACCAGATCTAAATGTTCTGTTCTTAACTGCAAATCTATGAAGGACAGAGGCTAGAAACCAAAACCACTTCCAGAGTCAGCATAGTGAGTTCTTGGGCATTTTTATAGGAAGGTGCAAGAGAGAATTCAATATTGCTCATATAAAGTTGAATTTTCCCTTTAGGTAGCTCTCAACAAATAAAAATGGTTCTCTCTCTTTCTCTCTCTCTTGTTTATGCCTGGAAAAAGAATTCTACTCCTTGACATGCAGCAAATAGTTACGTTATGGTATATTTTTTTCTTTTCCATTTTTCAGGAGTAAAAATAATTTACTGGGGGGAGAAAAAAACAATTTTGGCTTGGTCTCTGGGTCTTCCCCCACCTGCTACACATCTTTGTTATTCTATTGGCTTGTGAGACCCCACAACACGTGATGATACAGGAAGACCAGGAGTGAAATCTAATCTCCAGGACATTCCTCGATATCAGGAAGACAGGAAAGTATTAGTTCTAGGAATAATTTTCCTCCAGTGTCTCCAAGAAGCAATTCTCGTTGATAAGTGCCCATAAACAGACATCAGGAGATAATGCTTTCAAGGGAATGAAAGATTAGACCTGCATTTTGGATCTCACCCAAACTTGAATGCTCATAAAAGCAGGAGTCAGGGGGTTCACCAAAATGGGAAACAAAGTCCTGAACGCAGAAGTCTCTGTAATAAAATAATACTTAATTTAAGTCAGAGGTGATTGATTTTGGTTCTGCACAATGGTGAAGCTCATGAAAAAATCAGAAGTTTGAATGAATTCAGTTTGTGACTTGGAATGAGCAAAAAATCTTAAGATCAGATCAAAAGAACAAAAGGGTCAGTTAAATGAAAAAGAGAAGGATTGTGACTGCCTTTTTTGACAGATGAGAAAATAACAAAATTACTGCACTCATTTTTGCTGGAAAGAATGGGATGGATATTGTTACAAGGGAATGGAAGAACAAGATAGCAGAGACATTAGTAAGAAAGCAAACAATTGCTCTTTACTCCAGTGAGATTATACCCCTGAGGACTGAAAGAATGTGTTCATGTTATAACACAATCAACTTTTTTCACCTTTTAATAATCACAGAACATAGGAGCCCAACCAAAATATGGGGAAAGATCAGGTCTAGAGTTCTTGAGTTTTTTTTTTTTTTTAAGTGACTTTAAGGAACTATACAAAAGTAAGTTTGATGTTGATCTGCCAAAAATTTCTAGACTTGATGAAAAGATAATGTGTCAGCCACTATAGCTTTAATAACCAATACTCGGACAGTCTGATGGGAACGTGGAGGTGTGGTTATGCCTAACTCAGCTTAGTAAGGGAAGGGACGTTTTCTTAGGGTGATGCCTGAGCTGAGCAGGAGGACACTCTAGACAGAGTAGGTCAGAAGATAGGAACTCCGTGATGATTGTGGTAAGGGGCCTCACAGCTCCTTCAAGACAGGCAATGAGAGGTAACTACGTGGAGAAAACCTCAGTTCAGTCTGTGGTCTTGTTATGGTCAACATTTTACATAGCACTTGACTGAAGATATCCTTACTCAAGCTAGCAGCTCACTTCTCCAATGAATGAGTGCAGCAGGGGCTTGTGGGTATGGTGGGGTAGCCCTCTTCTGCTTAATGCTCTTCAACGGCAGCCCCTTCAGTGTTCTGACTTCTACTAAGTCTTCAGCCTTGTCCCCCATGCTGTCCCTACTCCCTGTGCCAGCCACCGGGTCCTTCTTCCCATTCCTCTGGGACTCCAGAGAAAGGGGGTAAGAGTTCATGGGGTAAGAGCTGGGGACGTACAAGGGTTTCTTCATCTAAATAAATAGTTGTGTGTCATTAAATAAGAGTCATATATTTCTCATGGATGCTCTTGACTATGGGGTGTTTAAGTCCTTCAAAAACATACCCGAATGTTAAGAAAGAAAGACAGAGGGTGGGGGGGAAGGAAGGAAGGAAGGAAGGAAGGAAGGAAGGAAGGAAGGAAGGA